ACCTTCAATAGTAATAGAAGGGCAAAAAGTATTAAACGGCTCATTCCTGGAATGGTGATGACAGTCCAGAATGAGGCAGAATGGAACACTGCACTGAAATTTTGACTAAAATAATCTAAGAAGTCCCATCCAATTTTGTAATTCTACCCTACATACACACTCGCGTATTTACAGATATATACCCTAACCACAAATATTCTATTCCTATTTTTGATCTATATCTTTAGATCTATTTTGTATGAGCCCAAAACTACAGATGACAGATTTTTCTCTTACTTTCAAGCTTCAAAACATGGCCTTCTAACACAATAATACTATATTGATAAAATCTAGTGTTAGTTTTCAGAAACAGTATAATTTGCATTCCAATTGCCATCTCAGTGACTATTTCATTATTTGCAGAAACTATTAAGAAAAACATAGAACATTTGAAATATTTTAGTAGTGCAGTTGAAACTCACCATAATCACCAAGCAAATCCATTAGACATGTGAACACCACTGTCATTCAACCACAGATAAAAGAGTGGTTACCAGGCTTGTCAACGCAGTCATTTACTAACACTGAGCTTTTGGCTCATGACAAAAGATCTAGGCAAATATTCTTGAAGGTATACTTATTCATTTACATGCTTTTTGGTTTTGTTTTGTTTTTGTTTTTGATATACAGAAAGCTGTACATATTTAATGCATGCAGCTTGATGAGTTTGAAGATAAGTATACACCGTGAAACCATCACCACAATCTATACCATAAGCATATCCATCACCTCCAAAGATTCCCTGCCATCCTCTATTATTATTTTGTGTGATAATGTAAATGATCAGGACCCTATGGGGCTTTCCTGGGACAGACCCCTCCCCCATACCCTCTGTTTTAGCTCCTAGCATCTGATGCACATTTCCTGAGTTTTTCAGATGCTTAAACCACGACCAAATGGAAGAAATTAACTACTTGATGATCATGAGCATGTAGCCTGAAACTTCTGATGCCTAAGGGTTGATAATGTTAACTTCCCAGTTACCTCAGTATCAACCAATCAGAGAATTGTGCATGAGCTGATCACATACCCTGCAACCCCTCCCCTCCCCTGGCCTTTAAAATGCTTTTCTGGAGCCCTGCAGGGAGTTCAGGGTAATTTGAGTATGAGCCACCCGTTTTCCTTGCTGGGCCCTGCAATAAAACTTTCTCTGCTCCAAACTCTGTTGTTTCAGTTTGTTTGGGCTCACTGTGTGTTGGGCACACAAACTTGCGTTTAGTAATAATTTGAGCACTTAACCTAAGATCTACCTTCTCAGAAAAATTGTAAGCGTATAATTCAGTATTGCTAATGATAGGCACTATGGTGTACAGTAGATTCCTAGACTCATTCGTCTTGCATCACTGAAACTTTATACCTGTTGACTAATAACTCCTAAGTGTCCGCTTCCCCCCAGCCCCTGGCAACCACAGTGTGTTTAGCCACAGTGGAAGAAAATAAACCTAAGACATGCTTTTATCTTCTTTGAAGTTTGTGAACTAAATAAAAGAATATGCCTCATTGATGCATACTATGACTGTTTAGGGAAAGCATATCATTTAGTTGGTTTAGTTTTTACTACATACATTTTAGTAAAAATGATGTTATATCCATGTTAGGTGTCTACACCTTGATTTATCGTATTACTAAAGTATTGGTTTTTCAAACTTGTAGATGCTGATATGTTTTCCCTTCTTCCCAGAAGCAATGCTCCTTAGATCCACTTCAGCAGGACGTTTTCATACACTGATGATCAAAAGAGTCCATGATACATGAAATCTCAATGCTGATCATTAGGTGAAACAATTCAAAACTCACCTCTAATTTACATACCTTCAGATGAGACATTATTGACAAAATTATGAATAAAACCGACCCTGGGATACCCAAGAAGATCATCCTTGAATTTTCATTCTCACTAAGATGTTGCCATGGTATTGGTGCTCTTTTATTTAAACTTAGAAAGAAGACAATAGAATTTTAACTATGCCATGAGATGCATTAACGGGGGTAAATCAGGATTTTGGAATTAACATATACACACTATTATATATAAAATAGATAACCAACAAGGACCTACTGTATAGCACAGGGAACTATATTCAATATCTTTTAATAACCTATAATGGAAAAGAATCTGAAAAAGAATATATATATATATATATATATATATAAAACTGAATCACTTTGCTGTACACTTGAAACTAACACAACATTGTAAATCAATTATACTTCCATTAAAAAAAGACAGCTACAAGAATATATTTTAAAAACTGTTCTATGAAAATGTTCATTTTCATCAAATTTTTCCTCCAATGAGACTCTTCTAGATTATGCTTTATTTAAATTTTAATTGAAGGTTTACAGATTTGCAGTTTGTGCTAAGTTTAATTTCTGTTTCACGAATTCTGACACTTATTTTTAAATCATTACTTTGTGTCTGATTTACCACATTTTTTGCAATGCATTTACCACTTCATATAAATTATACAAAGTAGAGGTTTGGTCTGCATCAGCTCTCAGCCACTGCTGTACAAGGCTTTTGGAAGGAAAAAGGAGAAATGATCCCATCTCTGAAGCTCATTTGGGGAGAATACTATATAAATTTGTTCTTACTGTAAGGTTGAAATTAATCTTGATTTCCTGTCAAATGTACAGGGATTTTACGATATAGTTCATAATAATGTTTAATTCCTCTAGGGTAGGAGTTAAGATAAACAAGTCACTGACAGTGTTTATCTATAAATATAGCAGATGGTGTGGGACTGAGGTTGATTATTAACTCTGCCGACTTTAATTTCATGGTTATAAAACACAGTAAATCTCACTGTTTATAAAAGGTGGGAAAGAATCTCCAATGGGCTTCAGTAGCCAAGAAACCTTCTGTAACATTAATCTCTCTAACTGATATTTGGTATCCTCCTAGGGTGCAATATTTAAGATTGTGGAGTGACTGCTAGTCACATTAAAATTTTCACTGGGATCATTAGCTAGCATTTCTGTCATTGATCTATTATAACTTTGTTAATGAGTTCCATGTGAGTGAAATTTAGTGAATGAGACAATTCTTTCTATGCCTTGCTAGGTGAATGTTTAACAATTACTTTAGGCAGTTATATATCTAAAAGATAGCCTAATTAATCAAAATCATACCTTTTTTCTTACACAAAGATGAATTGTAATACCTAACTAGGCAAGATGTACTGAATAATCAGCCAGTGTACATTATATACATTTACATTTAGGTAATGAATCTGCCTAAAATATCACAAAATGCCATAAAATTTAAAAAGAAACAAAATAATTTATTCTTAATATTCCAATTTATTTAAATGTAAGATTTGATTATGATCACTTACTTCACTAAAAATCTGTATGCTTAATTTGATTGAAATTAATTCTTCCCCCAAAAAGGACCACTGTTATAAAAATGGTATTATTTGAAATAGCTCGATTTTTCCATTCCAACTTTCTGGTGAATAACAGAATTATTTCATAACCACAAAAGTGAAAAAAAAATCATGACCTCTACCTCTATTGTTTTTACATTCAGAAGAGGTTGATTTTTCACTTCCCAAGAAGGTCAGACTTTTATAAATATAGGATAATCTGATATATGAGTTGGGGATTAAAACAATCTTGAACTAAAAATGTCTTAACTGTGTTGGAGGTCAGACTCCTTGAGAATAAGTTTTCAGTGACAAAATCCTCAGTTACTTTTCTAGCTCTTGTATTGGGCTGCTTCTCCTGGACCCACCCTGAGAGTTTTATTACTGATCTGAAACAGTCTGGCTCCTGTGCTTTCTACCAATTAGTCTCAGCACAGATCTCAAACCTTGACTTCCAAGGAGCTGGCTTCTGACAACATCAGCCCTGGGTGGAGAGAGGCTGAATGGAGCTGTTGGTAATATACCTTCTCATCTCCTTTCCTGTTCAGAGCCTCCTGTCACTCTTGTCATTGGATGCAATACCCTGCTATTTGATACACTCACTTCCACAAAAAACTATCCACTCAGACTTAGACTTCCAGGTCTCAAAATGCATGAAACATCTATAAAAGACAGCAAAGGCTCTCTCAAGTGGAGGCTTTGTCTGTTCCCCACCCCCTTTTTTTAAGTCTCAAAGCCCACCTGAACCAATTATCATCAAAGAAATTGATTATTGTGTTATTGGTATGTTTGGCATTCATATATGTATTGACTTGAATCAAAACTAGGGATGATTTCACTTCAAAGTTATCAATAAAGTCAACTAAAATAGTTCTATCAGTTAAGTCTACGGATTACATCTTCTTGTCTTATGAGTTGTGATGTGAGGGTGGAAATGTGTTTAGAAAAACATGGTCGAGAAGACAAGGGCCACAGAATGGAGGATCCCTTCGGTAAGGCAAAAATAGGTAAAAGCAATAGAAAGTGAAGGGGCTAAAAAAGGGAGACAGAATAGGGGAAATAACAAAACCGGATATTGAAGTGTCTAGGTAGAGAGGCAAACAGTGTGATTTGTTTAGGGAGTCTCCCTTACGTACTTTAAGAATTCATAAATACTGTGGGTCTTAGGGAAATGAGATATTGTTAAAAGCACATTCAAACAATCACTCTTGTAAAGAAGGACTCTTTTTCTGTATCACAATGGGTAGCCTTAAATTACTGTGCTTTTTTTTTTTCCTAGTCTATGTATAAGGTACAATGAGCTGTCTTATAAAATGTAATCATTTTCCTAGTCATGGTTTGGGGGAAAAAAAAAAGAAGAAAAACAACCACACAACTTCTATTATGAAATTATTTGATTAAAGGGTGAAAAAAAAGCTGTTAAAATTGAATAAAAGTACTCCCCGTTTCACACAAATCTATCATATCTTATTAAGATAATATCATAGAAATAAAAATTGTTGCCTTATAATACAAAGCAAATTACAACCCACAGGATAAAGATAATGCATGACTTTTAAATACTTTTATCTCATTTTCATTATTTTCTTTCAGATTATCTGACACTGCATAATGTCAAAGGCATTGCATTGCATAAAGGAAAACATGCAAAGGAAATAACTCTCAGCGGATTTCATTCCCCCTTCAATGGTCAGTGAAAAATCCATCCTCTAAAATATTTTTAGTATTTATTCTCTCTAAAAATCTAGTAATTAAAAAAAATCTTTTGTTTCTAGAAGTCATCTATGCTGTCATGTGCATGGCAGTCACCTGTGGAATTCTCCTCTTGGTGATGGTCAAACTGAGGTAACTGGATGCAAGCCAGAAGGGAAGGGCTAGAAAGGGGCCAGCCCTGTGAAAGCAATTTCACTATGGCAGAGCTTACCAGGGCCGAGAAGGAAAGCTTCTCCATTAAGACTTAGGAAACCATTCTTAATGTGGGATGGGCACATGAAAACGTTACTCTGTCTTCATACGTAAGGTAAATGTGATCACAGGGATTCTTTCATGTTGCATTTTATAAGCACATATGCATTGTTCTCCCAATGAAATGGCTCCCAATCATTCCCCTGGTTTTCCTATAAAATCCAGATTGAACTTTGCTGCATTCCTTAATCAGATCACTTACAGGATTAATCAGCTCATATAATGGACCTGCTGTGTACTTCATACACTTTATACTTAACTGAAAATTTACTCTTCACTCTAATTTCTTATATGCTAATGAGCTTTATTCATATTTTACCATGTAGTTATTAAATGAGACATGTAATGAGGCCTCACTGGGTATCCTTAGAAAGACGTATTACTATTGCTTGATGTTAATTCACTCTTTCCAAATCTTCTGTTTCCTTGGCTGCCTTCATTGTGAATGTGAGACCTCAGGTTAGAGAAACATCAACTTCTAGATTCCTACATGTCTAGGGTTTAAAATATTTCTACTTATATAACACTTACAAATAGATATAAAGTGGTGTTCAGTTGCTTAGTTTTAATTTTTAAAAAACCCTCATATTTAAATATCAATGCTGTTCATTTGCTTATTCATGATACAAATGTATACAAAATGGAATACAAATATTCCATCAAAGAGGTATAATTTGAGTATCATAAATGTTAATGAAGAAATATATATATTAAGTGTATATATACATATATATTATATACATACACATAAAATATACTTATCAGTAAGATTAGGCCTGAGGGCAGCAGAGGTGGTGGACATTTCTCTGATCTCATGACTCTCAGAGAAGAAGAGTCAGTAAACTTGATGATGCTTCTACACATATGGTTCCTCAGACTCCAAGGCTTTGATGACCAGACAGATCAAGTGCAAGATTTAGTGGGGAAGGTGTATGGTGGTACCAAGGAGTTGGGCACGTGATGAGTGTGTGCCCTGTCTACAGACATTCAAACTTACTTATTTTTAAAAGTAATCCCAGCTAAACATATTCCCTTGTTGGACCCAGCTCCTCTAACTGTTTAATTTAATGCTGACCAATATCAATACCAAACACACTGCTTCTCTCCAAGGCCTTAAAATTGTATTTGTATGAAAAGATATTCTTTGAGTTCCAAGATATAGTTTAAAGGCCAACAAATAAGAGTCAGTTTCAAGGGGGAAAAAGAGCATTTGGAATTTATTAAACGTTCCTTTATTTGGTTTAAAATATTTGCGAGCATGGTTCAGTTACTGGGCCTGCCTAGATATTCCATCACAGAGGTATTGTTTGAGAGAAGCACCAAAAACTTTCTAGCTTAGCAAAAATCTTAAAGGTTTTCAATCTTTATTTTTTAGTCACTCACTTAATGTATAAAGTTCACATCTGCCACCTTGGTTTTTTTACAGATTACTGTTGTGCCCCAGGTAGATGAGGCCTATATGGCTACTCAAAATTTCCTATATATCAGCTGTTATTTAACCTCCTTTCTTGCCCGCAGAGAAAGATATATTTCTTTACTGGATGACAATAGGAGTGTTATAGGCAAAAATCTTGAATTGACTCTAATATGTATTTAAAAGTAAATCATTCATATTATATATTATAATATTTTTATTAGTTATAATATCATATTGTAATGTATTATAATTATATTATACCATTATTATTATATTACATTTAGTTATCAATTATTTTCCACGCAATTTGAATTTGATCCTTACATGTAATCTGAAAGATCCAGACCCAGGGTTAAGAAATGACAAAAGTAAAAGCCATCATGGAAAGAAGGAACAAAACAAAACAGAAGCATCAGTAACAACAAAACCTGTGTTACTTCACATTGGAGATCAATAATACCTTCTTCATAAAGCAGGCTGCTTTCCACTCACCTGGTGGGCAAGTCTAATCCATGTGAATACCTTCTGCAGTAAAGATGAAGGATTTTGCATTTGCTCCATGTTATGCTACATTAAAACAGCCCTAAATCTTCAAAGAAATTTGCAGCAAAACCAATGATTAAAGTTTAAATATTTGAGAAAAAAGACTATTTTTCTTTTTGAAAATGGTTACTTGGAGATCATAGTTAAGTGCATGATAGTTAGAAAGACCATAGAATATTCTACTTTTGAAACTTTACATTCAAAAACTTAATTATCTTCCCCTCCAGGCATAGAATCCAACCAAAAAATAAGCACAGACACATTTTTTAAATCCTTAGAATAGCATACTGTTAACTTTTACTTTTACTTTTATATAGAACCTACAGAATATCAAGTCAAAACAAGAGACCCTTCACCAATCCAAATACCTGGAGGACTCATGATTCATTGAGAGTCACGAATAATTAACAATCACTTTCTTTAAAGCAAGTCTTTGTAGCCAGTCAGCGGAATATCCTATCCATTGTCAACAAAGAAAATGTTAGGATGGATTTAATGATACTGGATCATTAAGTATGTTCATGTAAGGTATAATAATTGGAATGATGTTAGATTTGTTTTTTCTTAGGAAAAATTCAAGTATAAATTTACAGTGGTATCTTTGGACACTAGTATAGAATTACAGAATTACCCTTGAAGGCAAAAAATAGTGTTATTCTAAGCTACACTCTGCGTGGTTTGTTTCATAGTAAATTTGAGTCCATATAAGAATAATTTGTTGTATCAAAATATAGCATTTTATAGTTAGCAGAGTATTTTCTGATCAGTTTTATAAATACCTATTAACTTGCCAAAAGGAAACTGCTAATAAAAATAACCAGTATATGTGTCATTTGTATATCCATTTCCAAATCATCAACTACATAATTAGCATTAACTTTAAGTTTCTAAATATATTTGATTAGATGATTAGTCTTAAAAATCGGAAGTGATATCTTTGGATTTTTGTAATTTGAATACTATTGAACTGTACTTTGTTAACTTGATGTTTTTATGTCATGTTCATAAAGATGTAAAGCAACTACACTGGCCAAAAAATCCATGTGCATTTCAATGATATATTTCATTTGTAAATTTAATTTTTTCCTATGCTAATTATTATGAACTTCTGCAATAATAAAGTAACATGATAATTGTTATTTTATATATTGTTACTATAATGTTACTTTTGGCCTGATTTGACATCAGAATATAAGTGTGAATAGAAAATTGTGGAAAAGATGTTTGTTAAGTTGTTGATACATATGTGCTTTTTAACTCTCTGCAATCACATTATACCCATTTCTAAGAACACACATGAGTTAGTTTTATCTGTAGTGACACAGAGACTCAAATATTCAAGAACAGGAACATATATTTAGTGACATATTTACAATTAAAGGTCAAACATTTTCTACCTGTTGGTATCAGATCTATTGCTCTTCACTATACTTCAGATCAAATTGTCTACATTAAATCAAATTTAAAGTTAACATATGGCTATGTTTACTTGGAGTAATGGAAAAGCCATCCTTTATCTTTTCAAACAGGGAAGAATAACTTGGTGAATCACAAAGCTCCCTCAAGGAGCTCTCCATATTCCAGTGGCTGCTAATTCTCTTAGTTATGTGAAGAGAATGTAGGTCTTTCCATTTCCAAGTCACTGCCATTTATTGCAGACATGCTAATGCCTAGGAAAAGAACTGTTCCCTAGAAAACAGAGGAACAAAGTCAAGTTGCTTTTAGAAATATGTTTGTGTTGAGCAGAAAAGGGGGGGATGGAGTGTGAAGTAATAACTAATAGTTAAAGAGATTAAGCAATTTCTCAAAGTCTCACACTAGTCAATATAAAAATTAGTAATTGAACACAGATATAGCAGATTTTAGAATCTTTTATCTTAATTCCTAAACTCTACTGCCAATCACTTATCCCAGCTGTAATTGTGTCATTTTTGTACACAAACAACCAGGAAATACCTGTTTTAAATATTCCTCTCTGTTGTACCATCTGTATCAACCTAGATAACATGTCTAGTAATTAGATGCTTTTACCTGTACTAAAATGTCTTAACTGAAAAGGAATACATAATATTTCGTATATCAAGAGGTCCAAAGCAGAACATCTCAAGGGTCGGTTGACTTAGCAGTTCAGTGATACCTCCCAGGACTCAAATTTTTCTTTTCCACCCTTTCATAGTCAATGAATGACTGGCACAAGTCAGACTTTATAAGAAGACATGGAAATATAGGAATTCAAATTGCCATAATTGATAGTCTAGTCCCTGAATCACCTGAAGAAAGGGTGAATTTCCAAGTAAAATCAGAGTTCTACTTAGCAAGGATAAACAGGAGAGGAATCTTGGGTAGATAGTCAACAGTTTCTGCTACAAAAGTCTAGACTATCTCCTTTGTAAATTAAATGATGTCTCTCATGACCTCAAACAAATAAACTGAACAGTTTGGGCTTAAGTTCTATTTTTCATTGGGCTCTTTGGAACTAAAGAGCCCAAACCTAAAACAGTGTTTCTCAGGTTGTCAAGGAGCTCAAGTTCTACCAATTCAGGATTCTTTTTCTATTCATTAACGAACACAATTCGTCTGGTAGAAAACAATATTGGTTGCTTTGTGTAGGCAAGAACATTTCATCTTCCAGTGAATCTTTTTCCAGAAACATGGAGATCATCCATTCGTTGGCAGGGGAAACACTTGAAGGCTGTACTACTGACCGTCAAGTTACAGGATCCAGTGAGTGATGAGGTAAACACTACTGCCTGGGTTTTTTGTGGGGACTGCCATCCAAGCAGAGGTGCACTTCAGAGGACTCATCTGTGTTGGGAACCTCTGCCTCAGTAGCACTAGAAAGTTTAAATAAATGTTTCCCAGATTAGTATTAGTAGACAATGTATTAGTAGACAATGTTTCCAGATATTAATAAAATAAAACATCAGGGGTCCCTGATGCCAAATAAGTGTACCATCAGGACAGAAGGGTCATGCTTAGAAGGTAAAGGTGAGATACAAGCTATGAAGAAAAACGTTGGGAAACAGAATTTCCACAAAGAGGAAATTCAGAAGTTATAGATGTTCTGCTAAGAGCAAGCTTCAGAGACACCTATTCTTTTGGGGTCATGCCATCAAAATTATTCTCTGCGAACAATAAGCAACTGGACTAAAACAGTAGAATTTAAAGGTATTCAATAGGAAAACAAAATTTGTTAATGCCCCTGATACCTCAATAGTAGAAGTCTTCCAATGTTTGAAGATCAGTTTTGAGGTATTTGGAAGAGCGAAAAGGTTGATGGGAATATGTTGTCTAGCATTTCATGTTTGTATTGAAACTTGCTAGAACTGGGGGCGGGCAAAGGGGGGTGTAGGAGTGAGGATGAGGAGTGAGCAGAAGGGGGAGTGCTCAGCATTATTGGCGGAAGTATTGAAATTCACGAGGATGGTTCATTGTACAAATTATAAGGTGTATTCCACCCATGATGGTAGTTCTTATTTCAAGTGTACAACTAGGTAATAAAGAAAACAAAACATCATTTTACACATTCATCTGGCTGTCTTACAAATACTGTAAATTTTTCATCACGGGTATTAATCATTTTCCATATTTTCTCCCTCCACTCCTGCCATCTTTCTTTCCTCTAATTTTTTCAAGTTTCATAAAGGACAGGAGGGAAACAACCTCAGGAAAGGAGAAATCAGTTAGCTGCAGAATACTGTAAAATAGCTAACAAAGAGGCACCGCCCATAAGAACATTTAGATCCACGCTTTTAGTCATTTCACATCCCATTCTCTTTCACAAATGCATTTCAAGTGAAATAACTTATAAAGTAACATAAGTACATTCCTTATCTCATAAGCCATCAGCCTGAAGACAATTAGACATCGAAGGTGATACCACCTCACACTTCTGAGAATGGCCATCATCAAAAAGAACAGAGGTGAGTGTTGGTGAGAGTGTGGAGAAAAGGGAACCCTCCTGCACTGTTGGTGGGAATGTAAATTGGTACAGCCTCTATGGAGAACAGTATGGAGGTTCCTAAAAAATTAAAAATAGATCTACCATATGATTCAGCAGTCCCACTCCTGGGTATATACCCAAATGATATGAAACCAGAATCATGAAGACATATCCACACTCCCATGTTCATTACAGCATTATTCACAGTAACCAAGATATGGAAACAGCCTAAGTGTCCGTCTATGGATGAATGGATAAAGAAGATACACACACACACACACACACACACACACACACACACACACACAGGAATATTATTAAGCCATAAGAAAAGGAGAATCCTGTCATTGGCAACAACACGGAGGGAACTTGAGGGCATTATGCTAAGTGAAATAAGTCAGACAGAGAAAGACAAACTCTGCATGATCTCACTGATATGTGGAATCAAAAAAAAGCTGAACTCATAGAAACAGAGGGTAGTGTGGTGGTTCCCAGGGGCTGGAGTCTGGACAAAATGGAGGGATGGTGGTCAAAGGGTACAAACTTCCAGCTATAAGATGAATAAGTTCTAGGCATATAATGTACAGCATGGTGACTGTAGTTAACAATTCTATATTTTATACTTGAAAGTTGTTAGGAGAGTAGATCAGAAGAAATGGTAATTATGTGAGGCGATGAAGGTGTTAATTAACCCTGGTGTGGCAATCATTTCTCAATATATAATTGAATCAAATCATCACATTGTACTTCTTAAATTTACCCAATGTTTCATGTCAATTATATCTCAATAAAGCTAGGGGAAAAAAAGAATTAATCTTGATTTCCAATCATGTCCAAAAATACATGTTTGAGTCTTTGAATCATTCAGTAGGAAAAAAGAGAAAGTAGAGAGAACTATTAGCAAATAACTTATATTTTTATATAAATATTCAGAAAATTGGTAAGAATAGCCAGATTTTGGTTATGGGACTACCAAACCTATGGACTAAGCATGAAGGGAACATTGTTAGTGTGGGTGTCTGATGTAATGCATGCAACCCATGTTTGGACAGGCAACACCTAGAGAAGTTGGCTTCTGCCAGTTGCATTTCAGCTTATTCATCTTCTTTGAGTGACTGGGAGGCAAAAGTATACAAAGAATAAAAATTATAAACTAAATATTTTAGGGGTTGAAGAAGACAAATAGTCCCTCTTATCTGTCAGGATACCATTTTATAAGGCCACATTCTCATCCTCTGCTGTTCAGAGTATGTTGCTTGGGGATATCCTTTGTTATTAAGACTCTAAATTTACGATAGTGGCAGCTCTAATATTTTAATTGGTAACTGCCCTCACATAGGAACATATGAAAGAGGTCTGAGTAACCAAAGCAACTTTAAAAACAGGAAAGGATCCAAACATTATACTATTGCCTTACAACGTATTATAGCATGTATGTAACGGTAATG